TAGCCAGTGACATGCCAATGTGAATTTGAGGGACTGAACCAGTGCCCTAGGGGCTGCAAAGACATAAGTGTCAACACATCGGAAGCTCTTGGCTAAGACAACCGACCCTGGCCCCCTGCATGGCAATTCACCAGCTTGCAGCCAGCAGGGAGCTTGCCTTCTTGGCACAACTTCCTTGTCTGCAGAATGAGAGTGATGGTGTCTGTGTCCCTGATGCTTGACACGTGCTGGTGATTCTGCTGTGTCTCCTCTGTGACATGCTGGCTGGTGTGGAGAATGGGAAGGCAGTGGCTTCGAGACAGGCTGCATGTCTGCAGACATCTTCACCTTGGTCCAGATTCCCTGGGCAGCAGCCCCTCAACTCTTCTTCCTCTGTCCCCCAAACTGGATCCCTTCAGAGCATGCCTTCCTCTGTTGCGACTGTGTGACTCGGAGCAGTGCTCAGCGAACTGTCCCTAATCTCCCAGGCAGGCTGTGGGTGGCTCTTCCCCACACACGGATGGCCTCTGGTCAGCATCAAGCCCCATTGTGACACTGTGACTCAGGGGGAAGTGATCTGTCCTCCCCTTGCAGCAGGTTGGACCACTCAGGGCCACTGTGTGTCTGTTTATTGCACAAAGGTCCCTGAATAGGAGGTAGTGGAGTGAAGTCTAGCTTGCTGAGCTTCAGGCCAACAGGAGACACACCATCAACACAAGTGGCGTGGGGGCTTTGAGGCCAGGCCACTGTCCCCTTACCTTCCTCTCAGACAAGAAGGTAGAGGCAGATAGTCTCCTCAAGGATTATAGGGCAGCCCTGGGAGCATTTTCCCAGGAGTCCTGGGGGCTGGGACAGAGTGACTTCAAGGACACTGGGGAGGCTGTAAAGGTCCCTCCCCAATGTCAGATGCACCTACAAGACATGACACTCACCACACACAAGCCCTGTCTCTGACCTGAGCTCTCTCTCTCTCAAGCTTTTCATGTATGCATGGCTGGCCTGCCCCAGCCCAGGCCTATACTGAGCCCTTCAAGGGTGCCAAGTGGGGTGCGGCTAGGAGATGGGGAGATGAATGAGTCCCAGAGTGGGTGCTATCTACAGGGGCTGTTTTATTTGTCATTCTGAAGTGTGTGGAGTATGGCTCACACATTGTGTCCTCTGAGTGGGCTGGGTGTCCATATTGGCCAGGCTTGGAGCGTTTGATGTGTGGGGACAACCGTGTGTCACCTGCCCAGGCCCAGAAGCAACTTCTTCCCGAGAACAAGTCCCCTCCTCTTGGCCATTTTTCCTTCCAGTGGCTGAAAGTTTCCCCTAAGCTTCTCTAGACCCTCCATGCAAGGGAAGAGGTCCAGAACAATGGGGACACAGCCTGGGAGAGGAAGTGTATGGGGCTGGTCCTCATGTCATTTGCTCATTTCTGCTTCTTAGGGTCTGGTGTCCCCTAAACTTACTTGATGGAAGTTAATCCTCAGTGTGATGGCATGTGGGCTGTCAGGATTAGTGGATCAGGACATTACAGAAGGATGGGACACAAGTGAGAGAATACGTCACTGTGTGTGTCTGTGTATGACTGGTGAGGGCCTGTGTGTGTCTCTCGTGTGTGTGTGTGTGTGTGTGTGTGTGTGTGTCTGTCTGTCTGTCTGTCTGTCTCTGTATAGTGTGTGTGTGTGTGTCTGTCTGTCTCTGTATAGTGTGTGTGTGTATGTGGTCTGTGTGTGTCTCTCTATCTCTGTGTATGTATGTGTGTCTTTGTGTGTTCTCTATCGTTCTGTGTGTGTGTCTTTCTCTGTGTGTTCTCTCTGTGTGTCTCTCTGTCTCTGTGTATGTATGTGTGTCTCTGTGTGTTTCTCTGTGCATGTTCTCTGTGTGTGTGTGTCTGTCTGTCTGTCTGTCTGTCTGTCTGCCTGTCTCTGCCTGTGTGTGTTCTCTGTGTATGTCTGTATGTGTGTCTTTCTGTGTGTTTTCCCCTTGGTGTGTGTATGTATGCGTGTCTCTGTGTTCTCTCTCTCTCTCTCTCTGTGTGTGTGTGTGTGTGTGTGTGTGTGTGTGTGTGTGTGTGTGTGTTATAGTCCAAGGCGGTATTAATGTTTCTGTTAAGGGAGTGAGGGAACAGGGCGCGTTTCTTAGTGGACTATGGGTTATGCACTGAAAGATTAAAATGGGACAATGCCAGAGAGAAGCCTCCAAGACAGTAAGTCAGAGCCAGCCTGCTCATTCAAAAATGAGACTGGTCAGTTGGGATGTTGTGACCCAGAAGACAGAGGACAAACGCGGGGAGGGACTAGAGAAAGCGTGCTGAGCCCTGCAGATGAGGAAGCATAAGGTGGCCCCTCAGAATTCCCACAGCCAGTCAGCCCACTCCTAGGTAAGAGTCCACTCCTAAGAGGAAGAAAAAGAGAAATGTAAATTAATTTTAAAAAATAATGGAAAAGTTAATGTCCACAGAAAAGCTGCCGACACTCAGAGACAAAAATGTAGAATCCTCCTAAACATCATGACCAAAGAGAAGTGCATAAAATGTGATCTGCCCATACAACGGCATATATTCAGCCATGAAGGGAAATGTAAAGTTGAGACACACTAGAGCATGGGAAGGCCCTAGAGAATGGTATGTCAAGTGAGATCCATTTGCCAATGGCCATAGGTGGCATGGGTTACTCTTGTGACACGTCTAGAAAAGGACTTTATAGACAGGAGGCAGCCAGAGGGCAACCTACAGGCGGTGACAATAATGAGGGTCAGGGCAGATAGTAAAATCCAGTTTTCCTTTTGAGGCTCTAAGACTGATGCTGGCAATGGTTACGAAACCAATGAGACTGCCGGCCAGCGAGTTGTGTGCTTTGGATGGGCGGATTTATGATATACAAATTGTATGTCAATAAATCTGGTTTAAAAAATAGAGCTGCATGAAGATGGGTGCATGTTTGTGGCTATGTGCAGAGCCTGGGACATCTGGGAAGGTTCCACTCACACCTGTCTGCTGTAGTGCTCTGGGTGACTCTGCCTCCCACTGTAAAGGGCAGTGGGCCAAGTCCTCACCTGTGGTTTCAGTGCAGCAGAAAAGTTGTGTCTGCACCCTGCCGTTACCCTCAGTTAGCCCTCCTTTAAGAGGCTCTGCTGCTGTGGGGCCATGGAGCAAGAGTTTCAGAAGCCCAGAAACTTGCAAGCCCAGAAACAGGTGTCTGAACACAAGGGCAAGTCAGAGGGCACCGGTTTCTGGAGGCAGTGTGAGAACAACACTGCAGAGGGGCAGCTGTGTTGCCAGACTCCCTTCAGCTAATGGTGTGGGAACTGGCAGCATCATGTCTATGAGGAGAGAGGCCGAGAAAGGGGACATGGTCACTGAAGCTACCACAGCCGAGGTTATTACCTGACCCTTCCGCACTACCTGTCAGCCACAGACTAGTGATGGAGTTCCTGTCAGTCACAGACTAGTGACTGAGCAGTACTCAGTGAGTAATGAACTATCAAGAGGCTGAAAGAGGCAGTTTAAGCCAGCCTGGGCTACACAGCAAGACCTTGTCTCAAAAAATTAAACTAACAACCCAAGTTGGGCAAGCACAGGATCAGGTGAGGCTGGATCAAGGTTCTGCCATGGGCTTCAGCTGGGGCCATGCCCATACCAAGTCACCACTTGTGGTCATGTGACTTCTGTCAAGGAGATTGTGGCCTGCGCTTGCGCACCTCCAGGGAGAGAACAAGTGTGGCTGCCTCAGTACAGCCAGCAGACCCCACACTTCATGACTGGGGAGGTTCATGCCTTGCTTTAGAGAAAATCACAGTAGCCAGGGTTCATGCCTGAAGACCCCAAAACCCAGCCCAGAGATGGGAAGGCACTGGCCTTGGATGTAGCGGGGCATGGGATGTAATAATAGGTTGCTAGGCACAGGGATGTTGTAAATATTCCAAGACCTGCCCAGCAGGATGGGATAGGATGCAATGGAGAGCGCTGGCCAGCACTTGGGAGGGTGGGGCTGAGGGATGCAGCCTTCCCAAAGCTCTCCTGCTCCTGGTGAATCAGGGACAGAGAATGGTGGCCAGCCACATGACACACCTCCCTTCCCTGTGGTCACAGAGTAGAGGACAGGGCCTCGAATGGGGTAGAGCTCCATTGTGGTCAGCTAACAGTTTCTCCTGCTCTCTCAGATCACTGTTTCCCCCACTAGATTTCCCCATCCTGACCCCACTCCATTCTGCCCAGCATCTCTCTCTTCACAGGCCAAGCGATCCCCAACAATCAGCCTTGTCTACATAGCCCGGGGTTCCCACTCGAACCAAGGGGCTGTGAACCATCTCTGTCTGCATCCTGCCAGTTCCTTAGAAAGGAACAGGGATCAGGGCACAGGGAGGGGACAGAGAGGCGAGGCAGGCAGTTTCCATGAGCGGTTCCCTGTTTCTCCCCAAAATAACCACGGTGTATATCCATGGCCTCACGCTGCAGACGCTTAGGATAAACCCTCGTAAATCTGTGTCCAGAACTGAAAACCGGAGGCTATGCCAGGGGCCAGACCCTCATAGCTCTCTCTCTCTCTCTCTCTCTCTCTCTCTCTCTCTCTCTCTCTCCCTCATCTGCCTCCTCTTTCTGTCTCTCTACCTTCCTCCCTACCACATCTCCATGGTGCCTTCCCCCGTCATGGAGCTGTGAGGCCCCAGCCCAGCTCACGCCCACGGACCACATATTTTAATGCGCCTGCACAGTCTTCCAGAAAAACAGCTACAGCATCTACGACATTCTTCCGCCTCCTTGGAACAGCAGTGAGGGATGGGCATGGGGGAGGAGGGCCTGGGAGATGTGGGGGAGGAAGTAGCGAGCTTCCTGCCCTCCTCTCCTGAGGAACCAGAGAGAGCAAAGCTCCTGCCTCCTTCCAGGTCCCAGACATCTAGAAAAGCACCCAGAGTGCAGAGATAGAGCAGAGAGCTCTATCCCACATTTCAGTGGGAGCCTCAAGTTCGGAGTCCATGAACAAGCTTCCTGGTTCTGCCTTTTGGGTTCACGTGAACTCAGCAACCTCGAGGCATTCTTCACTCAAAACCTGATCATTCATTTACTATGAGCCTAGGACCGGGAATGGGGACATACCACAGAGGAAACAGTCATAGACCACAAGGAAAGTGTAAAACTGACCCTCCCTCAGGTGACCCTTGGGAGCTAAGCAGTTCTGGGTTAAAAGGCAGGAAGGCCTAGGTTGAACAGTCCTGGGGAGAAGACTTGAGCTGACACACAGGAAGCTGGAGGTGCACAGATGGCAGGAAGACCCGTGAGGGTCCCAGGTTAGGGCTTCTGCCAGAGTCCCCATGGCAAGTTCCCGCTCCTGGATGTAGAGTATCTGGGAGGAAGGTGGACAGCCATCTTTCTAGTAGCCACGCTCTTGACTCCTCTTTGGTGGGTGCATTAGCCAAATGTTACTTCAGTCGTTCAGAAAATCCATCTTCAGGTTGCACTCCGGAGGCAGCCTGCTTCAGAGTGGAAAGGAACTCTTTGGAGAAGGTACAAGAGCAACTCTCCAGGCTCAGGGGAGAGTTCTCACCGAGATTCTGCATTATAGTAGGTGAGGGGATGAGTGGCGAAGCCAGAGAGGTGACCAGGGGCCAGGTCCTGAGGGGAAGGGCACGGAAAAAAGCTGTCTGTTTGCTGGTTAATCTTCTTGACATTAGCTTCCCTGGAAAATGTGTGCGTTTCAGTGACTATGTTGTAGAGCTGAGAGCAGACCTGAGTCATCTGCTTCTTAGAAGGATGTGTGTGTGAATGGACGGGTAAGATGGATGACGGGGTGGAAGATAGACAGACACTGGATGAATGAGGGGGCATGGATGGTAGGAGACCGGGTGATGGACAGAGTTGGAGGGTTGTGCATGGGTGATGGATGAATGGGTCTGGGTAGGTGCCGGATGGATGAATGGTGGGTGGTAGGTAGTGTGCCATGAATTAATGAATGAATAGAAGGCTACATGCTGAAAGCCCCAGGAAGCATCTTAGGCCAGGGTTACTAACTGGAAGAAGAAGAGGAGGCAGGGGTCCTATCACAATGCTGTCCCCATGCTCACAAGGCAGAAGGGACCGGAATGTTGGAGAAAACCTGTAACTGCGCTCTGAACGTGTTGTGCTTGGTTAAATGAAGGGTCTGCAGTAAGGGGTTCCATGGCGGCCAGGCCATCCTCAGAAAGACTGTTTAGAGCTGGCTGCGTAAGGTCTGTGCTGACCACACTGGTCCAAATGGCAGGGCAGGGGAGACCTGGGAGACCAGGCTCAAGAGACCAGTGATTCGGAAGTCCCTGCAGGGGGGCAGCGATGTGATGGGTGTCAGCTGCTGCACACTGTCCTAGGGTTTCTATTGCTGTGAAAAGACGTCACGACCATGGCGACCCTCATAAAGGAGAAGTACTTAATTGGGGTGACTCACTCACAGTTTCAGAGGGCCAGCCCATCGTCATCATGGCAAGAAGCACGGTGGTGTGCAGGAAGAAACGGTGCTGGGAGACCAGCTGAGAGTCCTACATCTTCCTAGCAACAGGAAGCAACTGACAGTCACTCTAGGAGAACTGGAGCGAAAGAGACCTCAAAGCCTGTCCCCGCAGCGACACACTTCCTTCAGAAAGGCTGCACCTCCTAATAGTGACACTCCCCTTGCGGGCCACTTTCTTCCAAACCCACTGTGCACTCAGCCCTGTGCCAATCACTCGAAGCTTGCTTGTTCTCCCATGGACTGCACTGCCAGAGGTCCCACCTGTCCCATTTTGTAAATGAAGGCTCGGGTAGGTGATCTAACTTGCCAAGGCCTCCCCCATGCCATGCGGTGCACATGTTCATGCTGAAGTGCGCATGTGTGAGTGCATACCTGCATGAGGAAGCCAGAGGGCCATGCCAGATATCCTCCTCTATGACTCTTCAGCATTTTGTTCTGTTTTGTTTTTGAGACGCAGTCTCTTACTGGATCTCATCGGTTCTGCTAAGTTTAACAGTCAATGAGCAATAGGAATCCTCCTGTCTTCACCTCCCCCTCCACCACCAAGCACCGGAGTTACAAATATGCATAGCCATGCCCAGCTGCTGGGAATTGTATGGGTACTGGGGATTCGGACCCAGGTTCTCATACTTACACGACAATGCTTATTGACTAAACCATCTCCTGAGCCCCTATCCTTAATCTTTGCAGATGCCACCCAGTTAGACTTCCCCCACCCAACTCGCAGACAGTGCCATTTCCCATCACGTGCCAAGTGGCTGCAGGGGCAATGCCAGGTGTCTTTGCCTGAGACAAAGGTAGGAGGATCATGACTGCACAGAGGGTGGGGTGACCATGACAATGAGGGCTTGAGCAACACAGCCAGGTGTCTTCTGGGAAAAGCCAGACACTGTATGGGGAAGGAGCAGCTCTGCAGTTTGCTCTCATCAGTGAGTGAAGCAGGGCTACAAGCCAGGACTCCCAAATGGCTCCTGGACAGTGTGACCTCAGAGCCTCCACAGATGGAAGGTTCCAGATGGCTCTTTTGCTGCGTCCTAAGCCTTGATGGTGTTTGTTCAGAGCAAATGAACAAACACAGCAAGTGGCTGCCACTGAGGCAGGATGCAAAGGAGAGCAGGCTGGTTGGAGGGCGGGGCGGGACGAGCAGCTGTCATTCCCTGCAGGCTGATGGTCTGATAGGTGATAGTGTCCTCTAAGCCTGGCTCTGTTCACCAAGCCTCTGGCTGTGTTACGTGGTAACATACCAGCTTGCTGTAGGGAATTCATTCTAAGGGAAGAGATGGCACACAGTGCCAGACTGCATCATGGGTGGGGCTCTGTGTGCTGAAAGCAGCTCACCCAGACGAGCCAGGGCCAAGCTCTGTTGGGAACATGCTGGTGCCTTGCAATCGGTGCCAGTGTGGGCATGGATATGAGGATCTCAGAAATCCTGCAGATCTGGAGCCTGGCCATTCATATCTAGCCCTGATGGATGGGTCTTGACCATAGAAGACTAACCACAGCAGAAGTGTCCAGTAATCAGACACTGATGCCTTAAATGGAGGTTCAAGTCCACCAGAATGGCAGTGGCCAGGAGGCAGGCTTGGTGTTGGTCAGCAGGCATGGGGCAACAGTTCTGGGGGAGGGTTTGCAAACACACAGCTGACAGCAAATCTGCCAGCATGTGCTCGCACATCTGGGTAGTATAGCTGAGCCTCTAATCGCCTCCACAGGAAGCAGTAGCATGGTGGTATCTAGGTAGGGTCTTCAGAAGATGGGGATGAATGCCTACCTCCTTCCACTGGCCATCCTTGCCTCTCTGGAGACTTTCTTATGCTGTACCTTCTGTTTGAGATTAGGTCCTCTCAGTTATGTCCTTCCCCAGCGTAGCTCCAGCACAGGAATGACAGATACACCCAGATTCTGACTGCACATGACATCAGTGAAGCCTCAGAAATGCTTGTTCATGGGCGGTCCTTGTCAGTCTTCTATTTCTGTGAAGAGACACCACGACCATGGCAACTCTTACAAAGGAAAGCACTTAACTGGGGCTGGCTTGCAGCTCAGAGGTTTAATCCATTGCAATCATGATGGAAAACAAGGTGGCGTGCAGGCAGACATGGTACTGGAGAAGGAGCTGAGAGTTCTACATCTGGATCTGCAGGCAGCAGGAAGAGAAAGAGCCGGCCTGGCTTGAGGTTTTGAAACCCCAAAGCCCACCCCTAGTGACGCACTTTCCCCAACAAAGTCACAGGTGCTCCAGCAAGGCCACACCGCCTGCTCCCTCTCAATTGTGCCACTCCCTAGTGACCAAGCATTCAAACACATGAGACAATGCGGGCCCTTCTTATTCCAACCACCACAAAGGCTTATTGGTTGAGTGGTTTAGCCTTTTTTTCCTTTGCTTTTCTGGGTTCTCTGTGTGTAAACTGCATCTTGTATTTGGAAAATGACCACCTGATTCATGTGCTACGCCTTTGTATGGAGCAAGACAAAGGCCTGTTCCAAGAGTCCTCTGTAGAGATGCTGAACCTTACCCTTGCCAGGAAATGCTCTAAGAACTACATAAGCCATCACTCCAGAGGTCTTTCTCCCCATCAGCCCTGCACCCTCCCTCTGGTGTCTTGCACATTGAAGCTTTCTTCTCTAGACGTAGTGGGCAGGGCATCTGTTGAAACTTGTTTTTAAAATTTTTAATCTTCAAAATTAATTCAAATACTGCATCATACATCATGGGTATCATACTCAGCTGTTCTGAGGGGCACAGCCAAAGCAAGCCGGCCAACAGCCAGCTACCTCATACCTACTCTTTTGTTTGGTGATGAACACTTACAATCTCCTCTTTGCCTTTTCGAACACACATTATACTGCTGTTAGCTGTATAATAGTCGCATCCTGTCTGCTAAACCGAGTCCTCTGGCTGTTTCAGATTCATACCTGAGACCACGTACACAGCCGTCTCTCCACGTCTAGTTTATTTCACCCGATGTAATGTCCTCCAGGCTCATCCATGTTGTTGCTGATGGTAGCTGTTCCCTTGCTTCCAGGGCAGAGTTGCAGTCCACAGCGGTTTACACTGACTGCATGGTGTAGCTGCTCAGTGCAGTGGGAGATCACATGACAGACTGAGCAGGTCCAAGCCCTAAACTGGATCCCCATTGCACCTCCAGATGTTAATGACCTTGAAGACAGAGAAGCAGAAATTATCCAAAATGAGACACAAAGATAACTTTCACTTGTTTGAGGCCAGGGTGGATCTGGCACTCTACCACCCAGCTTCAGCCCAGACCCTCAAAAGTAATTTATAAGGGTACCAATCTCAGTGACCTTGGGATACCTTAGCATGGCTAAACACATGTGTAATTAGGAAGGCAGAAGGAGGAATGATAATAGAAGAAAATGAGCCCCAAATTTCCACACCCACATAGACCAAAATCAGAGTTTATGGGTCCTGCCCCCTCTGCACCTCGGCATCCATCATTTCTTCCAGTACTCAGGGTCCTTACAGGCCGCTTGCTCTTCTTGTAGGTGTGGCTGTGCTTGTGTCTTCCCTGGGAGAACGCTGGGCTACCCTGATACTGCTTCACAGGGTGGAGTTAGAGGGTAGAAGCCAACAAACAAACCACTTCAAGCACCAGCCTCTAAGAAGTGAAATGAGTTTGATTCCTGGATCCCAGATGACAGAAAGAAAAGGAACATGGGATTGCCCAAAAGGCCACAGCTATGTGCAGCCTGTTCACTACACCAGAGGCATGCCCAAGGGGAAGGCCATCAGGGGAAGTTCTGCTGGAAACAGCTGAGGCTGTGCCACCAGGGAGGTTCCTGAAGTGACCGTCTTCCAGACTTGAAGCAGGGTTACTTCATGAGCTGTGCAGGGATCCATCTCATGAAGCCTAAAACAACAGGACACTCATCAGGAGTCAGACCTGCTGGTGTTGCCCCAGAACCCTCATCAAAGCCCATTTGGAGAGCTGGATGGAGGAAAACCCAGCTCTGGGAGAAGTAAAGTAAAACAGAAATTTAAAAAGAAGACCACAAGGAAGAGTAGAGGGACATCCCAACAAACATGTTCCCTCAGCCTTCTGCCAGCTGTGACATAAACCTGGGCTTCTGGGGCGAGCAGGAAGGAAGTGCTTTCCCACAGACCTGTCAAAGCAGTCATTCCCCAGTTTCAGAAGGCCATGGCTCCGTGGCAGGGCCTTCTTCCTTTCCCTGGTGGGTGGGTTCAGCATAGGTCTGCTTGTTGGCCCCTCCTCCACTCACCATGTGTGCAGAGCCCCCCACAGCTCTGTCATCCTTAAAGGATCCCCAGAGGGACAGCCCACATGCATGCCTCTCTCCAGTGGGGTCCCATTCCCTCTGGGCAGGTTGGGTTCAGTGACATGTGGGAATCTGTAGAGGACAACCCAGGCCAGCTGACCATTGGTAGGCCACTTGATAGGTGTCAGGGCTTATTTGGTACTGTGTCGCCATCTCTCCAGCAACATCTGGGTATGGCTTGAGCTATCCGGGGTCAAACTATTCCTAGCAAGAAAATGTTTCCTCTCCAAACACCTGGACCACATAACTGTGCATGGGCCCCAGAAAGAGCTGGGGGGGGGTCGGGGCTGCAGGCAAGGGCTGCATACCATAATAGGGGGGAACCACATGGGATCCAGCTTTGCATCAAAAGAAAGTAAAAAAAAATCCTGTTGGCCTAAGAGGAGAGGGATTACGTTCAATGGTGGCACAGGGTTAGTTATCTTGTCCTGACTATGTGATTCACTGCTAGGCTGTCTTTAACTGCTACTGCAACCATGGGGTCAGGATTAGCTCAAAGCAACCCTTTCTGTGTCCCACATCAGAATCATTGGGCAGGCTGACACAAGAATCCAGGCCTCCCTCAGACCTCCTGCAGAATAAGAAGTTCCAAAGACCCAGCCTCTCTGGCCCCTTGTGAGGCTCACATCCACTGAGGTCCCAGACTCCCAGGGTATTCCATTTATGTCTCTGATGACCAGCAGGAAGGGATAAGCTCATCCCTGATGCATTTGCAAGTCTTGTTCCCAGCCACCACAAGCTAGAGACCTATCTACAGAGTCAAGTGGGGAAGGCCAGGGCAGGGTTACATTAGCTACTGGGGAAGCTAGACAGCAGTTGGGCAGCAGAATGGAAGGTGGCTGTCCGGGTAGAGACAGCAGCCCTGTGGAGGCGATGGGCAGTGTGGAGGCAAAGAGTTAACCATCATAGCCCTCACCGGGCCTGGGCATCTCCGTGGCCCATTTGTAAGTGAATGTATGCTGTGGCTCATTTTTCCGAAGCTCACTGGTCCTCGTTTTCATGCGCCTGAAACCAGAGTGGGCTTCAGGGTAGCCGTGTCATAGGTTTAGGGTGCCTGGAGGAGGGATGAATGTAAGGAGGTCTTCCAAATGGAAGGAGCCGCCTTCCATGACACTGCTATCAGACCTTCAGAGTTTGTGTTCTAATATGACCCTTCCCTCTGTTTCTGAGCACTTCATGGTGACAAGAGAGCCCACCACAAACTGACTTTACAACAAACCAGAGAACTGCCAGCTAGTTAATGGCCTCAATGACACACTCTTATGGATGCCATCCCCATCCCGTTTATACTCAAACACCTGTCCTCACTGCACGGTGCCCAGTGGCAGTTAATTAGTGATGTCCCCAGCCTCTCCCTGCCTGCCCTGAAGAGGGGTATTCACCATATTTACAGAGGAGAAAGGGAGAGAGAGGGTGGGCTCAGTGCTGGGGGCAC